GAGCTTGCAGAAAACGTCCCAGAGTCTTTGCTCAAGGTGCCATGCAAAGCTTTGCTGTTTCGACTGATCCGCTGTGGTGTCAAGGGTTCGCAAGACCTACTGTGCGGCTGCAGGTGCATGGTTGAGTGCAGGACTTGCTGTCACCGCGCGGGTCGCGTGCCGCGCTGCGGAGACAGATTCCCTTTCCAGCCGACGGCTGGTAGAAAATCTTCAACGCAAGGTTGCCAGGCCGGGGCCGGGTGAGCACAGTCCAGTGACAGTCGAACAATCCGTTACTTGCGACGTGTATCATGCACAGGCTAGAAGAAGAAAACCGTCAGCTTCAAGCGGAAGTCCTTGCAGCAAAGAGTGGTTTGCACACGGACGACGCCGAGCAGGTCAACCAGTGCTTGAGTTTAGGAAAACTTTCTAAGTGCAAGAAACAGCAAGGATGTCCAGCAATCGTCATCTTGTTTCTGGATTTTGCTTCGAGTGCATCAGCCCATCAGATCATCTGGCAGGCAAGCTCCAGCATTGAAGAGACAGGACGTCCCCTCACGTGGCAGAGAGTTGGAAAGCTTACGAAGTACAACAAGTGCCCATTACCACACGAAGTTTTGTTGTGATTTTGGTTTTCTGTCAGATGTTCAAGAGCGTGGGCTTGTGAGGACGATTTGCCTTTCCGAAGGCCTGCTCTGCGACAATGGTCATACTGCCTCGTGCGGGTAAAAGCTTGGGAGTCTGCAAGAGACAGCTCTTTGGGAACGTTGGTGTTTTTTTTTGCATACCGTTTTTTGGCGGACCACATGTAAAGATCCAATGACAAACGTTTTGGCTGAATGGCGCACTGGTTAGATATGACGCTATGAGCCCCGAGCAGTTGTAGGTCTTCGGATTGCATGTATGTCAACCATGCAAGAGCAGTCCAGGACGTGGGCATGTTTTTTGATGAATTGAATAAGCCAGCGCTAGGCACCAATCGATGACGGTGGAGTTACCCCGTTTTTTCTCAAAGACATAGGGCTCCCGATGCAAATTGCTGGCATGGCAGCTCATGTATTTAGGCATTGCGTACTGGGGACTTTTCAGTGATGCTTCGGGATGTGGATTTCCACCTGGGCAGCTTTTTTGGCGAAGCTCTGTTGTGGTTTCAATGCAGGCAGATCTTCCTTTTCCACTGGCCTCACTTCGTCTGGTGCCTCCAGACCAAGGGCTCGAGTACAGAGAGGACTCGGCAGGGTGGTTTCAATGCCAAACAAAAGAAGCAACCCGTTCATGCTGATATTCACCACCACCTGACCCCTAGTATTCAACAGGTTCCCGACTGTATAAGGGCTCTCATGGGGCATTTTTAGCATTCGTGGTGCGGCAGTGTTTGGTGTTAGAATAGTAGTTTTCATTTCTTTTCCATTATCCCTATGAGCCGAATAATATACCCCATGTTCCATCTTTATAAGCATGAAGGAATTGGAGCAGTTGTGCTAGCATGATGCTTGCCAGGAGGAAGGCGATTGGATTTCCCTTTTCAGGACTGAAGGTCATAGGTAATAATGGCAATACTCGTCAAAAATACTAGTAATAATAGGATTAATTTCAAAAATAGTAATGACAGTAATAATAACAATCATAGCAATAATAGTAATAATAGTAATAATAGTAATAATAGTAATAATAGTAATAATAGTAATAATAGTAATAATAGTAATAATAGTAACCCTAAACCCTAAACCCTAAACCCTAAACCCTAAGAATAATAGTAATAGTAGTAATCATAGTAATAATACAAAGGCATTAGGATGTCTCAACTTGGCTCAAGTCTGCCTTCAGGAATGCTGCCCCTTACATTGCAGCTTTCAGGCCATCCAAGTGCACGTTTTGGCTTGGGCTTGGGGTTTAGGGTTTAGGGTTTAGGGGTTTAGGGTTTAGGGTTTAGGGTTTTTGTGCTGTGTGATTTTGCATCAAAAGTGCAGAAGCTGATGTGGCAGTAAGCTGCATAATCCTTTCTGGAATCATGGTTTAGCGAAGCGGCCTGACAAAAGGCCTCCAAAATCATGATGGGAATGTGTTTCATTATTTGGAAGAATTGGGAATGGCTATTCTTGCGAGGCACTGCCAGGGTTTCTAGCTAAACCCCAAACCCTGACCTAGGGGCGGTACGGTGGTGGTGCACCTACCGTCGTTCATGCTGGAGGATGACATGCAGGAGACCTTCCGCGGCCTTATGGAGGAGCCACCCTCCCAGGGAAACCCATAAACGGGGGGGCCGCCAAATGGACCTCAACATGCTATGTAGCATCCTAAAAGATCCTCCCCTCCAAAAGGCCCCCTGATTTGAGGCAACTCAGAAAAGTAGCGGATTCTTTAAGTGTGGGAGTTTTAAGTTGCTGCAGTATTCAATCTAAGCTTACATTGCTGTGACGAAGCCCTTTAGGGTTCAGGGTTTCAGGTTTGGGATTTAAGGTTTAGGGTTCAAGGTTTAGGGTTAAGGTTTCCAGGTTTAGGGTTAGGGTCTAGGGTTACAGATTTAAGGCTTAGGGTTTAAGCCAAATCCCCCCTAACCCACACCCTGAACCTCGAAACCCTGAGTGTCAGGATGTGGCTTTCTGTTCCCTTCTTGGGCTGCAGATGGTCATCGTCACCTCGATAGAGCTTGCCTCCCAGCAGTCATGAAAGTTCCCTGAAGCAAGCTCTAAACCCTAAACCTTAAAGCTCAGGTGTAGACTCTGGAGCAGGTTGCGACCCAAAGAGGCGGACATTTCCAGAGTTAGCACTGATAAAACTATGGATCAGCATATGCAGTTCAGGTACTCTCATTTACACGGAGATAACATGAGCCATTTTCTAAACTCCTAGCATCCCTCTTAAAAACCCTTATAGTAGTCACCTATACAATTCCCCATATAACCCCTTTAAGGAGTTTACATTATATAGCTGACATAAGCGTAGATGATGCTTGTCCTTTGTGTTCATCCTTGGGCGTTTTGCTTCAGAAAGGGTTTAGGGTTCAGGGTTTAGGGGTTTAGGGTTCAGGGATTTAGGGGTTTAGGGTTTAGGGTTTAGTCCTGTGGCCTTGTGGGAGGCGTTCCCTGTGAGGGATGGCACTGGGACGAAGGCTCCGTGCCCTGTGCCCGGGCTGGATTTTGGGCTGCTGTTAAGGAAGTGAAGTTAAGTTACAATACTTTGGGTATATAGTAATTAGTAGGGTTTCCTTATTATGGTGCCTTAAACCCTAAACCCTACACCCTAATTCAAGTTCCTTAGCAGTAACCCTTATTCCTCAAGTTGGTGTGTTTTGAACACTGACAGCTATGGTGTGTTTCAACTGTGGCTCAAGCGACTGCCAAGTCTGAGCTGGCCGTATGAGCCATAGTCTAAACTCCTTGAAGGGGGTTATATCGGGGATTATATAGAGAACTTCTATATGGGTTATTAAGGGGGATACTAGGAGTTTAGACTATAGCTCGTATGGTGGCCTCCCTTTTTTGGGCAGACGCCATGTCCTGCACAGGCGGGAAGCTACTTGAAACCAGGAGCTCACAGAACTTAAGCAATCTCAATCAAGTAGCGGCGATGATGTGTGACTGGCATGAGGGCTCTCAGAGAGTTCGATCCCTGTCCTAGTTGAAAGCCATGTGTGGCTCAAGGCTGGCATCCAGCTAGCCAGCTAGTTCCTTGTTCGTTGCATACATTTTCACGAATCGCAGCAGTCTATGGCCAGATCCTCAGGCTTACCCTGCCTGGCAGTTGGGGAAAGCAGTGATCTGAGGCACTGAGAGGGCCAGCATTATGGCTGCTGCTGGCCACGAATGTCCACCCAGCTGCTGGACGTGATATATCCATCACTCCAAGCTCGATATCCGATGCCTGGCTGCACTTCTCTGTAAGAGCTTGGCCGAGTTTGCTGATCTCAGCAGCAGCATGACTCTGCTGAACGCCTGAGGCAAAGACGGAGACCCAGATCAGCTTCACAGGTTCTCATGCTTGGTTTAGGGCTGGAGGTCATTTTCAAAACTCTGAGACATGAGCTACCAATATCCAAAACATTTTTGGGTTCCGTGTTACCCCCAGTAATGGAGAATCAAATGGAAAAGAACATGGAAAATGAAATGGAAACAGGCAGAGATAGTGCGATTCCTTGTGCAGGTGCCAAAAATGGTGACAAAGTGTTCTTCACCAAGTCAGAATGCTCTGCTGTGACAGCCGCTTGGTAGCACAAAGCCCCAACCTCGTCCGGCCTTCAAGCCCTACACCCTAAACCCTAAACCCTAAACCCTAAACCCAGGATGCTGATGCTGCTGTGATCCGGAATGGCAGGGCAGCAGTCACAGTTGCAGAGGCTCTCCGGCTATAGCCTAAACTTCCACTTCTTAACTTTGGCTATGTAGGGGATTGTATCGGGAGTATTTTTCGGTTTATTCAGGGGGATACTAGGAGTTTCGACTATGCTTCATATAGGAGCTTCTTCAAATGAGGGTCATCTTTGAATTCATGATCCCCCTAAAGGACCTAAGAACTGAAGAAAGGGGGGGTCTCCAAAAGCTGAGGTTCCCCCAAGTACTCCAACAGTAGATCCTCCTTTTGATGATGACCACCAAAAACAGCGCACCTCTAGATGTTGACACCGCCAATCCCTTCCCTAAGCCCTAAACTGTAAACCCTAAATCCCAATTCCTAAACCCCAATCTCAAAATCTTAAACCCCAAACCCTAATCCCCAAACCCCAAACTCTAAACCCCAAACCCTAAATCCCTAAACCCTAAATCCCTAAACCCTAAACCCTACATCCTGGGTATCCGAGTACCTGCCAGGAGTCATCTGGCCTGCGTCTCTGCCTGAAGCCTACAGGCGGTGCCATCGCCGAGCAGGCAGGTTTAGGGTTTAGGATTCAGGGTTTAGGGTTTAGGATTTAGGGTGTAGTGTTTAGGGTCTAGGGTTAAGGGCTTAGGGTTTGGGAGTAGGGTTTGGTGATCAGGGCTTTACACAGGGTTTAAATCGAGATTATTAGGGTGCATAGTGTAGGTTAGGGTTTGGCGTTTATGGTTGACAGTTCAGGGTTTAGGGAATAAGGGGATTTTGGTAACCCCAAGCCCCAACCCTGTAACCATCATATGATAGTCATAGGGTCCTAATTTTGGGGGTTGGGGTTACCAAACTCCTTTTATCATCAGGGCAGAAAGTGTTGCTTCAATTGTTGCCGGCTCGATGGGATTGGTGACAAACTCCTTCCCGGTCCCTGCTTGTCCCTGGAATACTTGCAATAAACAGGAAACCCCACTACAGACTGCAAGATGTTATAATCATTCCTTACTCCAATGACACCCAAAAAAGGTACCCCTAATTTTGGGAAACTGTAAACCCTAAATCCTGATCCCTTAACCTTATATACTGCTACAGAACCTTGATATTTCTCCTTTTCACCCCAGGCGCCTTTGTAGACACCTGTTGAGTCAGTGACGCGCCTCCGAGGCCGGAGTCAGCCTGAATGTGATCAAGCCCACGTCCTCCTCAGTCGTGGAGTCCGTCAGCCCGCCCCTGAGTTTATAGGTTTCCTTACTACCTTCCCTCTATAGCCCCCCCCTCCCCTAGGTTGCCCCTTACTTAAGCTTAACAAGGGGCAATCATCCCTAAATAACCCTTAATGAAGGGGGGACAAAGGGGGGGTGTAGTATAGAGGGGGGTAATTGGGCAACCCATGATGAGTGGCTGGACCTCTGCAATCTTCCAACGCCATGCCAGATGTGGTATCAATCTAAGGTCGGAAGTATGGGCCCCTACTATGGGCCCTTAGTCCCTCTAGGGGGATTCTAGGGACCCTTAAGGGTACATGGTTTCAACCTTAGAATCAAGATGCTGTGAGGTCGGAGCTCAATCACAAGAGGAGTCACGACATCGGTGACCCTCAAAGGAGCTGAAGCCAATTCAAAGGCAATATTTGTTCCTGTAGACAAGGTGACTTGCTTCAACTAGCCGAGGATCGTTCTGATTGGTGTTTTTTTTTGTGGGATGTGCGTTGAATGCTCTTGTGCTGAGGAGTGCAAGGAAGCTTCTCCAAAAGCTGTCCTGAGTGCAGAGGGGAAAGGCTCATTTACGATCCCTTCTACAGGCTTGGGCCTTCGACTATTGTTGTGCTCTGGACTTCATGCAGATGTGCAGTGACCAGGCAAGACAGGTGAGTACAAACTTTGCTACCAGTCTCCCGGTGGGAGCGATTCGGTGCAGCAGACAGCTGCTGCCGGCGTCGTGAAACTGCAGGTCGGACGGCTCACTTACTATGTTACAATCTGGGCTGCTGTTAGGGAACTTCGTTCAAGTTACCACTCTGGGTATATTTGTATATTGACATAGGGTAACTATTTGGGTTTCCCCAATATAGTAACTCAAATTAAGTTCTTTAACAGCAACCCAGTAATATGCGCCCCTGAGATTCAAAAGCAAGGCCTTTTCATGCATCAAGGATGTTTCTCAAGAACCAGTTTTACTACTTGGTGTTGAGCTGAAGTTGTAGACTTCTCAGAAGTCATTCACCTTTTTAGTTTTGATTTTGACTTTTGTTGCAGGTGTTGAACTACGGGTGGTTAAGGGCGAACGGAAACATGGATCCCTATAGTGCGTCTTCACAATCATACAATCGAATGTTGGGTGTCCATTTTTTGTTGCATTCCGCCATTCCCTACACCCTAAACCTAATTGTAACCACAAGCAAGCTGATGCTTAGTTTCAGAGGGTTTGGGGTTTTTATTTCAGTATGCATGCATTGGCATCTCCCTCCATGATCTCTGCTTTGCGGGCATGTGGGGCTGTCTCAGAATTAGAGTGCCCTTCCTGGGGTTTTGACAATACCCGAACTTAGATCCTCAAGCTTAGTTGAATCCACATTTTTCGGGAGCGCAAAACGAAAAGCTTTGCCGAAACCAGGTGAAAGCTCCGTCAAAGCTCCCAACCAGAACTCTATACCAGTTTGTATCAATGCTGCTCCCTCAATCCCGTACCCTAAGCCGTCAATCCTGAACCCTAAACTTTAAACCCCAAATCCTAAAATCAGCGCCTAGGCTGCTGACCCAGACTGACCCAAGACGATGGCCTGCCTTCTCACCACACGCATTGGAACAGCAGTACCTGAGTTAGGCCCCTAAACCCTGAAACAACCCTAAACCCTAGATCCTAAACTCAACACCCTAGACCTGAAACCCTACACAGTAAGAGTGCCCGACTCCTGGCCTTTGGATTTGCTGTGAAGGTTTTAGAGTCGGCAACGACCAGCCAAGACGAAATCACAGCCCCTCGTCTGGGTTTTGCATTTAGGGTTCAAACCCTATATAACCCCAGTTTCC